TGTCAAGATAAAGGCTTTCATTTTACAAATAAATAAGTAAACAAATACCCAAATAGGTCCTTACATTTGTGTAGCATTTTTGTTTAAAAAGGGACATTTACATATGTCATTTGACTTCCACCAAAAACATGTAAGTTGAGACAGTTAAGATGCAATTCTCCTCCCTTCTTGTGTCCCTCCACAGGTGTCAGATCAAGCTGTGTTGGCCAACTACAGCCCCTGGGCCAAATCTGGTCCATGGCCTTCTTTGTATAGCTCACATGCTGAGAGCTCACATGGTTTTTACATTTTAAAGAGTTGTAAAAACAAACAAACAAGACCAAATAAGAATATGTCACACACAGTGGCCCACAAAGCCTGAAATATTTACCATTTGGCCATTTACAGAAAAAGTTTGCCAGCCTCTGGTGAAGGCCTTTCCCATCTACTCCTGCTTCCCCCCAACCCCCCAGCCCCATTTTCTTTCACAGACTTGAGCAATCTATCTCTTACAGTCCTAATTTTGTCTTGGCATCCTGCTTCACAGACTACCTAACCTGACACTCTGGGCTCTTGTTACATTAAATTATTAAAATGCTATTATTAAAAGGCAGAGCTAATAAGGGGTAAAATCAGAATCGGAATCCAGGGCAGGCCTATGATTTCTCTGGTGATACTCTTAAGAAAAACTAAACAAAATAAAAGATTTCAAAGACAGTAAAAGATAGAGTCAATAATGGGCAAAACGGATTTGTTTTTTGGCTCTTACGAAACTTTTAGCCTAGCTACAATTTAAATGCCCATGATGGGGGTGTAAGTTCAACTAGATGAGTCCCATTAAGCTGATGTTTAGTTACTCTTTTTTCTTTAATCTTCTTCATTCTAGTTCTCCCTTGATTTTTTTTTTGCACTGCCTACTGGACATTTCTAATTGAATTTACATGTATAAGGGGCATCTTAAATGTAACACATCCAAAATGAAACTTTTTCTCTTCCAAACATGCTTTCTTTTTATTTATTTACATTTATAAATCATGACTATGTACATTAATGCATTTATGGGGTACAATATGCTTACATTGAACTGATTAACATAACCATCACCTCGCTTGCTTATTTGTTGTGGTAAGACATTTATACTCTATTCTTAATAGTTTTGAAGTGTCCCATTGTATTATGCACCTTAGATGAGGTCCCACCAATGACCGTCCCTCCTCCTGGTCTCCCCTCTTCCCTCCCCCCTCCTTCTCTTCCTGTCTGCCCTCTGTTGGCTTTTGGCAGCTCTATCTCACCAATTTCTCATGCCAAAAATTTTGGAACCATCTTTGAAGGTTCTCTTACTCACATACCTCACATCCAGTCAATCAGCAAAACCTGTTGGCTCCGTGTTAAAATAATACCCATTTTAACTCATTGCTATCACTGAACCATCTCTAGCCTGGATTATTGTGGTAATCTTGTATCTGAACCCACCATTTCTCTCCTTTTCCTCTTATAATCTATTTTCAGTGCAACAAGTAGAATGATTTTCTTACATCTCAATTTAGACCTGTGGTTCCTCTGCTCCAAACTTAACAATATCTTTCCTCTTTACTCAAAGGAAAAGATGAAACACTTACAATGGTCAGTCATGCCCTATGTATTTAGGAGTCACATTCCCTTTAAGCCTTCCTCTCACATTGTCATCTTCCATGCTCGATTCATTCCAGTGACACTGGCCTCTTTACTCTTTGTTGAATATTTTATACATGGTTCCACCTTAGTATTCTTGCAGGTGCTATTTCTGGAATGTTCTTTACCACCATGTAACCATTTGATTTGCTTCTTCATCTCAAGCTATTGCTTAAATACTCACTAATTGAGGATTTCCCTTACTACATTGTTTTAAATTTTTACCCTCCTTTGACTTTCTCAATATCCCTTTACTGCTTTTGTTTTATATATGCGGTTTACCTCTATCACTGCCTAATATATGTGTATTGTGCAGTATATTTAGCAAATTTATTTTGTTCATTGTTTGTAATTTCTATCTAGGATGTAAATTGCTAGAAGGAGGAGATTTTTATCTATGTGTTTTATTCGCGGCTGATGGGTTGTACAACTCCAGGGACACCACTTTCACTGGAGGAATGTTAGATTATTAAAATTATTGCCTGAATGAATATTTATAAAGTCTATGTGGTGCCAGTGCATCATCACATACTTAAATGGAAAATAAGCAGAAATAAAGATTATTTGTGTAACATGATGGTATGTAAAAAATAAAACAGTAAGAATAACCCCCAAAGGCTATTTTTGGAAAAAAAAAAAAGAAAGTTAGAAAAGATTCTATCAAATTACTCAAACGCTTTGCTATCAGGTAATATGATTATTATGGCCCTTAAAATAATTACTTCTACTTTCCTATGTTTTCCTACTTTCTTCACTAAGGCTCGATTTTATTATTAGGAAAAATAAATATTGTGGCAGAAAAATAAAGAAAATCTCTTCTCTTCATGTACTGGAGCTTGTGTGTCTTTTTAGGATTTCACTGTTTCAGGGAATATTCACTGATATTTCTTGCCCTTGATCTAGACATCTGCTTGACTCAGACCATTTACAATAGACTGTTGGAATTTTTATAGGAGTCAAGAAGCAGTGTAGATAGTTAGAAAAACACAGCATTAATGGAAACATGAAACCAAGTTGACAAAAACAATTAAAGAAATAAGTGCAAGCCCCTTTGGGGTGACAGTGTGCTGTAGTCCAGGTCAACTCAGTTCAGAAACATCAGTCCAGTTTCAAACTCTAGCTCCCCCTAACTGATGTATTGATGTGTGTGTGTACATGTGTTTTCTTACTTTTTCTTTTTCTATTGAGGGGGAGCAGATCAAAGGAATAAATAAACAAATGATAAAAACCAGTGAACTGAAATCACGGAGATGCTGTTCAATTATAAATAAATGAAAGGTGGTCAAGGTTTAGGTAAGGTCTCTCTTGAAAATTTCATATAGAAAACAAAAATAACTCGGGTTTCACTTTCTGTACAATCACTTATCCTCTTGGGCTCATCACTTGTTAAACAGAAGGCTATTCTTTAGAAGAGTATTTGTTTTGTATTAATGACTATTCTTGGAAGTAAATTAAAAATAATAGAGATTAATGAGAAAGGAGGTCATTGGCCAAAGAAATGTGACAAAACCTTTCAAAGACCACTTCCCTTTCACTCTTCCTCTTCCCCACTAAACACAAACAAAAGTCCCAAACCCAAAACCAGAAAATAAAACAGCAACATTAGAGAAAAGGTGAGTAGACAGCCATGTAATCTATTAAGTGCCTGGATCTGTGTTTACTCAGAAAATATTTGGGGCAGGTTTTGGTCCTGAGAGCTGACATAGCCCAGAAGTTTGTAATTGAAATTTCTTTAAGACCACATGTTGTAAATCTTCTGGGGAGCTCACGCTAGGTCCCTCTTCTCAGAGGTTCTGATTCTCCTCATTTGGGGTAGAGCTTTAAAAGCTCTCATGTGATTTTAACATGCTGTTATGGCTAAGAACCACTGCATGGATCTAAGGCCTTCATTTGTCAAATGAAGAAACAGTGGGTGGAGGTCTCCACAGTGCACATGGCTCAGGACCAGTGCTAGATTCCAAGTTCATGTCTCTTTGCATCTAACATTCTTCATGCTGCTCAGGCCCAGGACAGGATCTTACTCATTTCACACTGTCTGCATTCAGTGAGGCTGAGCCTATGTTACATATTCAGTAAATATCAATTTAATAAATTCATATCTAATTTCCAGTTACCAATACAGGCAATAGGGATAAAAAACTGTCAATGGAAACCAAGTATGCAAAATGCCAGGAGGGTTACCCGAGTTCAGCAGTGAGAACATCCCTGACTGCCTGTTTTAAGGACTCAACAAGCTGTCCTCATGTAGGTCTAGAACCTGCAATGACTTCTGTAAGATTTTACATGTTACCGGCTACAATGAAGTGATTTTAGGGCATGCTGAAGGTAAGTAGGGTGTGTGGGATGGGGTAGGAAAGGAATGTAGAAATCTACCCCTGCAGAAAAGAAGAGAATATCTGCACCCAGATCATACTAGGATCCTAGTGGGCTAAAACACGTGGGAGTGGGGGCCGAGTAGCACTTTCTCGTGATCTGGGCACACACACAATGTGCTGAATGAGGGGAGGAAAAATGAATTGGTTTGCAAGACAGTGGCATTCAGATGAGGAGGAGTCACACAGAGGTGGGTCTCCGTGACCTGAATCAAAATTCAGTTTTGCCTTCCACCCTTGTCAGGAGGACCTAGGAGTTTGATTTTCTCTCAAACTACATGGGCTTGGGCCTTCTCCCCAGAGACTGAAATTCTGTAGAAAGAAAGTGAAGATTCTGATGAAGCTCCTTAATTTAAGGACAGTTCAAACCAAACTCACTGGCAAGCACCTAGTTTTTCATGTCACATGAATGCCTGGGAAAGCACGTGAGAACTGAGGTCCTTTGCTTACCCGTCTATCTCATTCATATGAACGTTTCCCAGGGCGAGGCCACACTTAGGGCTGGTCACTTACTGAAACATTAAGATACAGAGTGAATGAGTGTCATCTCTGGCTTCCCTGAGAGGTAGTTTTGAGAGTCACCATCACAAAACGACGATGGACCTCCAGCCAGCTGTCCCCACCCTTTCTGCTTTGTGAGGGACACAGCCACATGAGCTTTCCCAGTGCTTTCCAGTGGACAAACCACCTCTCCATCTTATCATTTAATCATTCCCTGTCATGCGTTCGCTTTTCATGGCTGAGAGAAATTATTAAGGAATGTTTCCCGGCATCCTCTCTTAACACCAGCCTTGAAGAGGAGCTCAGTTTAAGAGAAGTAAAACATTCTAGTGGGTGGAGCCACTGAAATACTTGGATAGATGGCCCAGAGGCAGCACAGGGATTTCCCAGGAACAGGTGAGTCAGACCCTATCCCAGGCCGCCTCCTCTTTCAAGCAGGATGACCTTGATATAAGGGATGGGAAAACAAGCCACAAATTTGTTTTTACTACAAAACAACAATTTATTGAAAAAGAGCAATGCTTTATACAAATCCCATTATAACCCCCCCAAATATCTATTGATTTGTTTCCAGGTGTGGTAGCAGAGTATAAAAATATCAAAATTGGATAAATTCTGTTGGTCATTTTTTACTATAGTTTTTGGTCGTTTAGCAATTGGTATCCCCGTGCATGTACATTCACGCATCATTAGCATCTATGTATGTGGCAACGGCTCTTTAAAGTATGACTTTTAGAAGCATAGACTTTCATGTTTGGAAGACTCAGTAAAATTTACCAGTTCCAAATCATCCTAAGAGTCGGGCATCTGGTGAGCTCTCCCCATGTGTTTTGCTCTGAAGTACTATTCCCCGACTATCCGAGTGATGTCAGCTACCAGCCAAGAGCAAGAACTCGGGAGCCATCACTTAGCAGAGAGCACCTTACGGACACTTCTAAGCTATTATAATTCAAAGACTATCCCAAACTGTTGGCTTTATGAACACTCGGGTTTTTATTTTTCCTCATTATATCTGCTTTGCTATAAAAGGCATCAGGCCATTCTCACTAAAGTATCTAAAACTTTCTAGAATCCTTTTCATTTAGTGAGGCTGAATTTTGCTTCACTCTCTCATTGCTGGTGAAACTGGGTGAGAAAGAAACTCATTGCTTAAAATCCTCTCTTTTAAATACCTTAGTTTTTTCTTAATACAATACTTTTCACCTTTTGCAACCACATCTACATGTATCCTTGCTCACTGAATTCCCACCCAATCCTGTGAAGTGGGCAGATCGGGAATTAGCAAACCACCTCTTACAGGTGAAGCAACAAATCTAGGGCAGCCAAACGCCTTGCCCATATCCAGACAGTAAATAACAGCACCAACATTCAAATCCAGGTCTCCAAACACCACGGCCAACACCCTTTCCATTACATCATCTTGTTCAAGTGAAGACGTATTTTGTACAGACTGAAAAAGAGCAGTGTGAAAATGGAACAGAGCACCAACAATGTGTTAGGCACGGCTTAAGGAAAGGAAACATACCAGTGGAGACAGGAGGACAGGGAACCACACCAAGGTGTGTGTGCAGTGACTTGTAAATAGCCAATTGAGCAAATGAAAACATTACTTAGACACACTTCATGTTCAAAGAATGAGAGTGATATCAACTAATTAATACTCACACTACCTCTACCAAATGGTTAAGTATCATTATCTCGATCTGACAGATGGGCAAATAGGCAGAAAGATAAAATTATTGGATTATAGCCATGGAGAGAATATTTGTCACCACATTATCACTCCAGAAAGTCTAGCACTTTGTTCAGACAAACAGACCACACCTCTTCATGAAGACAGGTAAACTATATGATAATTACATACGGGAAAACAGCACAGTTGAAGAGGGAAGAAGAAAAAGGTAGTTTGGGGGATGTACAACTATAAATAAGTAGCTTAAACATTCAATCAATAAACTGTGTTCCAACACTGGGGTGAGCAGCACAGAGCTACTCAATTAGACAAATATTTTGAAAGCAGGCGAGGGTGCTACAGTTCAGAGTCCAGGGATGGTGTGGGAAGGTCAGAGGAAGAGACCACTTCAGTTACATAGAAAGTTGCCCACTTGCCTCCAAATTCTGATCTGTAAGAGATTCTTATCGGTTTTAGAAATTAAAATGTAGACTATGAAATGTGTTAGATTCAGGAGTTAGAAACCAACCAAATTAAAAAAAAAATAATGGAAAAGCAAGTGCTCTAAGATTATGGTAAAAAATAATACATATACAGGTACATATAAAGGGCACACATGAAGAATTGAAAGAACTTATACTTCACTAGGTAGGTCTGGTCCAATAGTAAAGACACTGAAAGCTGACGACAGAGGGGAAATGACTTGGTTTATAACATCTGTCTACATAGAGGAAGATGAACGTGTAACAATAAACTTATTTAATCAATATGGAATTAAATATTTTTTGTATTTTAAAGATATTTAAAGTATGCTGGCATCAACATAATAAGAAGAGTTGTTCATTGTCTAATTTTTTATAGAAAACATGTGTATATACATATCTATATATATGTAAAGAGCAAACCCTCCCGCCACTTGAGTATGGGGCGAGTAGTAACACGCATGGAGAAGACCTTCCTCTTATATTGAGGAAAGAGATAAAATAAGACTAGGTTATTTCTGGCAATAGGCCTTTTGGTTTTGTAACACCACAGTTCAGATTACAACAGTTCAAACTCTCATGTCCTAATGGCAATGATAGGATTTTCCTGTCCATTTTCTGATTGTTTCAACATGAATGTCTCCCTTTGCCTCTGTGTCACACGTAGTCTTTCCCACTGGAAGGTGTAGGTTTTGGATAGGGCCGCGGTGTTGGGTAAGAGGTTGTTTTTTCAGGACAGCAGCAGCAGAGGAGGGCACCTCCCAGAAGGCAGAGAGAAGCAGCAGCCCAGCCAGTGAAGAGCGCCTGGCCAAATTCGTACCTAAGAAGAAAAGAAATGCATTTGTTAATCAATGATTTATGGGCAACTGATATATTAAGGAAGAAAATAAATACTCATATATTGTTTGTTAACAACGACCCACTGTGATTCTTTGGGAAAGTACTTTAGGTTTGTGTACATATACTCAGAAGAATGTTTGTATTGCAACTGTTGATAATTTGCAATAGTAGATCCAGAAACAGAACGTGCAAGACTAGGTTAATCACACCAATATTTCCAAAGACTTTTCCATGGGTGAGAGAATGCTTACCTACTTCAGAAGTGGGGTTTAGATCATGACTCCCAGGCTAACCCTTAACAAGTCATGCTATCACCAAGTAACCATCCTGTTCTATAAAAAAACTGACACAGTGGGATGGAGACTATTAGAGTTTCGAACAGATGATGCCAGACACCTATATAAACTGCCATCCAAATTTTATGTTTTTGAGAAAAGTAGTTCTGAGGAGCCTGTTAACCACTCTGGATTAAGCTTATCCTGGTGGATGTGTTAAACCGCACACCTGGGCTGAGATATCTGTGAGTGATTATAGACAATAAGGGTAGAGAATGGCTGGATCTAGGAGTTAAAAGAATTTGAATCCTACTGCAAATTCTCAACTACTGTGATTCTGAGATAGCAACCTCTCCACCTTAGTTTCTCCTCCTTTCAAGGAGAGATAATCCCATAGGCCTCACTGGACTGCTTTCAGGACTATGTGTGCTAATGTAAATAAGTGCACAGTGCCTAGCAATTTGTAAAGTGCTTTCATGTACATGACTGGTATTATCACTTTGGCCAAATTCTAGCCTGTTGACCTCTAGGAGTTTCTGCCCCTACATGGTAAATGTGATGGGATGAACTCCAACACAATCATTGCAGATGTGGTCTCCTCTACGTGGGTGATTATATAAAAAGAAGAATATATTATCTCTCCAAACAGGGAGATTTTTCATCCATTGCTTCCAACATTTAACAAACAATAATTACATCTGAACGTGATGACTCTGAATGTGGTTATTAGGCTTGAAAGATGTACAGATGGTAAGATGAATAGCCTTGTCCCTGGATCAAAGAGTGTTGTTATGAGAACCAAGCTGAGAGCTGCTCTTCAACTTGCTCAGCTCACAGTACTAAAAAAGATGACTTTTGTAAAGCCAATTTTACAGTTGTGATGGAACATAAACTTCAAGGTGGGAGCTCAATACACCTGAAAGTTACAGCTTTACATGTAAAAATGAACTGTTGTGAAGCAAGTATTATTTATTAACCCCTACAGTAGTACTATTTTTTTTTAATTCAACCATACTACATCATTAACAAATAATCATAGTTAGGGGTTATAAATATCAAAATATACTTCAGGAAGAAAACTTCAAATGTTTTTAACATCTTTATTAATACTTGAAGGAAAAAAAAAAACAAGGAAAAAAATTCCAGTATAGAGCTTAAAACTTTTCTACTTTGAAGTACATTTTGTCATCAATATAGGCTGTTAAAGCAATTATCAAACTCATGGTAACATGAGTCACAACTCATTTACATTGTAAGTTTGACAGAAAATTCCATAAAATCTTCAAATCTTGGAAACTATGGTACTAGAAGATCTTTGCAAGACAGAAAAAGGGTATTTTCTCATAAACTATTTTATGCATGAATAGAATTACCTGGCATTGACTGGAGTCATGGGGTCATAGAATTCTTGAACAATTCTATTGCCATACCATGCTGTGGCAACTAAAATAGCCAGACCTGCAGAAATTCAAAACAAAAGACTTTTAGTCACAATGGAACCCTAACCATAGATATACAACCCGTTAACCTAAACGTATTTAACAAGAATTAAATCTCATCAATAGGCTGACACTTTTATTTTAGTATTAGGGAGAGTAGAAGTTCACATATGATTTATCCCAAGAATCCTGTTAAGATACACAAAAATATTAGGTTAGGGTTAAGCATAATTTACGACATCTTGCTCACCGTAGTTCAAGGTCTCTTGTACAAATAATGCTATTTGAAAACAAATCAGCAGTTTTGTGTTGTACAAGATTTTCTTCAAAGATACTGCTATGCATTAGTGTATTAAATTACTTTCTATGTTTTTCTTAACCAAACTCAAATTTTACATTTCTGCAGGGTCAAAAAGGAAATAGGCAGCTAGATAGTGGATAGAATAGGACTGGTCTCAGAATGGACCAGAACGTTCACCATCCCACTGCCCCCTGGCTGAGGCAATGCTTGGCACAGGTGCTGATTGCCTTGAGATTTGCTGTGGGTGCCACATCAGATCAATTTATGCAATCCAATCTCAATTTCTTATAGTACATTTAGTAATGTAAATATACATTTAGCAATACCAAAGAAACTACTTAGTCAAAATAATTCTTTTCCTCATTTAAAAGAAATATGAAATTATCTCAATTTTTCATATCCAAAGAAACTAAATAACTTCTTTTTATGGTAATAAAAATTAAATATCTTTATGTGGCTCCCTCTCCCCTCCAAAAAACAGAGTGGCTCAATCTAATATTCTCTAATGTTTGACATAAACCATCATTGCCTTCACCTGGCCAAATAGACCATGTGAATGCTCTTGAACTTGTGTCCCTTACCACCAAGGAAGTTCCTGAAATGGGAGTGATCCAGTTACCTGGGAGAGTTATAAGAAGGCTCGCAAAGAAACGATATAATGTAATAAGCTCATTTATAGCTCTTGATGTAAGAATAAATTATTGAGAATAAGGCCCCATTATACCTTTTCAGACAGTTTGTTAATTTGCCTTTAGATAAACAAAACAATTGGTCATTTTAAACTAATCACATCTTTGGCAAAACTACAGACAATGTCCCTCCATTACGGGTTAAGCCCGTGTTATAATGGTGGAAAAGCCCCTGTTACAGGTCTTCCATCAAAAATAAAATAATAAGAGCAAGTATTTCTAGTTTGACCTAGGAGTAGGTCATATCACTGATTTAATTTCTAAAAGCAACAAACTACTTTATATAGGTATACTGTATATAATATGTAGTATGCATAGCAGTCTTCTGTTATATCTAGATATTAATATTATCTACATATATATACCATCTATATAAATACAACTAACATATCATAGAATATATAGATAGTACACAGTAGCCAAGTACTACTGGGAAGGTTAGATGATGTGTCCTTTCAGAAAATGAGAGCCAGAAGACATGGGCAGCTCCATATCAAAGCTTTGTTATAGGCTTATATAGATATATGTGTATATATCTTTAGCTGTGTATAGTATATCCATACGTATTTACATATCTGTACTATGAACTACTTCATATATAGCCCATAGTATATATAGCCACCTAGAGAAATATGTAATGTATACTATATAGCTATATATGGAAAATATTTTACATAGATATATATGTGCTATATGATATATGTCGATATGTAGTATATATGCTGATATGATACAGTGTGTGTGTATATGTATGTCTTTAACTATATATACATGTATTATATCTGCATGTATTTATCTATCTATAGCTATATATACTATGTATTACCTATGTGTGAAATATGATGATACTACATACTATCTATGTCTGAAATACATAGTATATATAGTTGTACAGAGACATATGCAGTATATATGAAAATATTGAAAATAATTTGTTTTATAAAGCTCTGAAATGGTGCACGGTGCTGCCATCTCCTCTGGCTCTCTCTGCAAGGACACGTCATCCAACCTATCAATCAACGCTTGAATAAAACAACAAATACACATTTATTTATTTTCTGTGGGAAATATAATCTCATTATTTTATCAAGTTTTGGAAAGGCATTTCAGTATCTTTTTCTTTCCTAACCTACTTAGCCCAACAGCCTACCATTTCAACATTCCACCTCCATCCCAATTGGCCTTTCTCTTCATTGTTCTATGGGTGCGTAACTGTTTATTCAAGAACTAGATCTGACCATTCTAAACTCCCGTCCCCCTTTTGCTCTAATAATCCCATCCATCCCTCCCAGTCCTGTACCATTCACCTGTTCTTTATGCTCATTATCACTACTCCTCATCTTCTCCACATAGTATCTGTGGAGACACCATAGAAATTTTCTGAATTACATGGAATAGTTCCTTAGCGTTTGCTAGAAAGCAAACACTTCTCTTCACCTGAAGAGAGCAGTTCTAATAAACCAGTTGGTACCTGAAACCTCAACACCGAGACCTGTCCCATGTGAGCACAGATCTCACATGTTCATTTGGCTCCTGCTTGACAACAGCTAAGTCAACCAGACTTCAGGTCTGTGTCTGCAGATTTTAAAGAGACTGAAATCAATTCAAGTGCAATGGATACAACATAATTTAAGGAAACTGAAAACTGCATGTCAAATCATACTAGGAACAGGTTATCAGGGTGATGTGTGGAGGGGGCAGACTCTATTACCTGCGATAAGAAATATCACGCCCCCAATGACAGCCATCCGCATCTTCTGCACCTCATCATCTTCCAGGCATTTCATACACTTCATGCCAATGGTGGCCACAAAAATTGCTATCAGTCCCAGGAGGATTCCAACCACCATCAAAGCACGGGTTGCTTGCAAAGTGCCTGAAAAAAAAATTTTTAGAATATGTAAACATATTCTTAGATCAACAAGAGAAGAAAGAAGGCCAAGGACATATCAATGTTGTACAGAAAACTCAAGTAGGAGTTAGGAGACCTCAGTTCTAGTAATGTTCCTGTTGGTAACAGAATCTTCTGGGCTAGATGATGAAAAGAGGTCCCCCAGCTCTAACATTCTATGTTTTCAACATTACATTCAAAACAAACCAGAAATATAATTAATGACCTTGTTTAGATGAACTAATACATATATAATCCTTACTAATGGAGAATTTTGATTCCAAGAAAACAATCAAACCTAGTATCCTCAGTGGTAACCACGTGTAATTAAAATGGTTTACAATATATCCTTGATATCAGTCACAAGCTTTACAACCTAATTGTCAAGCATCAGAAAATTTAGGTGATTTTGGAAGATAAAAAAATGAATTTCTCACAGATAATCATGGCTGGATAAGCAAATTTGTATCTCCAGTGATGCAGAAAGGCATCGAGGGTAGGGAAGACTATAAAAGGCATTTTCTTAAAACAAAATAACCTTTGAGATGTTACCTTGGGACACAGTAGTAGTTTCGCATCCAAAGAGATCATCAGTTTTTAAAGCTGTTTAAAATGGCGTGTAGTAAACTAGTAGACACGATAATTTTTAGATTGTATGTCTCAGGATTTCATTAATTCTCTGTTGTTTTTGGTATACTAAATCATGATCTGAGATATTATGTCAATTTGTTTCTTAAAGGGTAAAAGCTTGATAGCACTGATGTGGCATAAAAACATGGACTTTAAAAATGAGCTGAAACAATGGTGATTAGAAGATTCTTGTTTAAATTATAGATTTATTTCTTCCTTCAATTAAATATCACAATGTCACTGACCATGTTAATAAATAATAAATATTTTTTGCATACCTAAGTATTATTTACCTTGTAACAAATTATACTACCTTGGGTAAGGTACTTAGTATTATTTGGAACAATGCTGCATTGTGTAAACTGTGATCGATCATCCTTCTCTCCAGGATATTAGAAGAAGTGATACTACGATGGTTTTTAAAAGTGACCGAGATAAGTGTATGGAAAAAATTTTCTATCTCAATGTTTAATTTAGACCTAGACTCAGTCTTAACATCTCCAGGGGTGATAACCTTGGTTATCAAATATAATTAAGGCTAAATATTTCAAAAACTTTATTAAATGTTAATTTAATAAAGATAGATACAATAATTACTTAAAAGGAAAGAGAAAAGTAAAACAATAAAACTCTTGTATTTAATATAGATTTTAGATTTGGTCCTAAGATTACATTCAGAAGGAAAACATTTCAGGTTGAGAGATGCTAAAAATGGAGATGCTGAAAGTAGCAAAGATAAACCATAAGTCTAAAGGATAGCATGACCACATATCCCATTTTGCCAGGTACTGTCCTAGTTTTAAAACTAAAAGTCCTACATCATTAGAAGGCCCTCAATCTTGGCAGACTGGGAGAGCTAGACACCCCAGAGGAGGATGATAGGATGTGGGAAGAAAAGTGGGGTTTGGCAGGTGGGGAGAAGGTGTTTACCCTGCAGAGCACTGGAAGGCAAGGTTAAGGGCTTGGAGTTCCTTCTAAGTATTATCAGAAGTCATTGAGGGTGTTAATAAAGCAGTGACATGATTTTTACCCTCAGTATAGAGATCACACAATTAGTAAATGTTTATTTCTGTGATCGACCTTCAAATATGTATAGCCTTTTACATCTGAAAGCCATCTCCACTTTTTTTTTTCTTCATACATCCTATTTTCCAACCGTTTATTAGTCAATTCTGGTGCTTTCTCTGATCTCTGTCCAAGTTTTCCACTTCATTCAAGTTGTAGGGCCCCAAAGTGGACCTCGAACACTGATTTGTTCTTCAAGTAAAAATAGCAAGCAAGTAGTCCAGCAGGTCTGAGCACTGGGATTACACGGTAGACTTGATGAGGAGTCTGCTGGGGATCAATCTCATGAATCAGGCTTGTATAAAACCACTGATCTCCCAGGCAAGGAGCCTACACACATAACTGGCTCCAGGGTTCCATCTGTCCCTACCTGGAATGATCTGATACAGTTTTAATCTCTAAGTTTCCCCCAGTAAGTTCTCAAAGAAAATACATTTGATACGTGTCACGTCTACTTTACTACTTCTTTTACAGTTTCTAAGGAGGAGTTGGCAGATATTCTATTCTGCAATTGCTATGCCCTACTGTGCTTCATTTCTCCAGAGAATAATACATTGTTTGTATAATACAAATTGAAAAAAAGGAGAACATGGAAAAAACCAATATTTTGGAATTATATAAGCCACAGGAAGGGGATCATGTTTCATTTTAAAAATGTTTTGCAAAATAATATTTTTCATTTTTATCCTGGCAAGTACTGACTTATTCAAATGTTTTTATTTTACTATATTATAATAGATTGGGATCAGACACAAAATCTCATCTTTCTTTATTAGAGATATTTGGACCAATTATTTAATGAAATGAGGGAAAAATGCAAAAAGAATACCGACATACAAACACAAAAAATGCTGAGAATTACAACAACATGAAAACTCACTAGCTAGACACGTATAATGATAGATTAGAAATCACAGTAAGCAACTGTTGTGTTTCAAGTTATGAGTGTTTTATGTGTAGATCAAATCTAAATTGCAGAGTTTTAGCTGGAACCAGATGAATCCCTTTAAATTAAGGTCTTAGGGAGGCCTTTTAAGTAGTTCTAAAATATGTAATTGTGATCTCCTGGATGATTTGAGCCAGATATCTATTTCTATTCTCATCCCATTGCCTGTACATGGTAAGTCACAGTGATTACTCAATCTATGTTCAATAAATTTAAATTAGAACTTTTTTATCATTAAAAATTGTACTTATATGATAAATAAAAACACTTTCTGTGTTTAGCTTAACCTTTGAAATACTGAAAAACACCTCCCTAAAGAGCCCCGGGAGGCTTTAATGTTGTCACATAAATCCAGGCTTATTTTAGATCACTAAAAAGCTAAAAATTCATGCAGAGAGTAAAAATTTATACGTTTTGATTAATTTGGTCTATATTTAAAATTGTGCTTCTCCTGAGCTTCTAAGAGAAAGTTATAAAATAATATTTGGGAATAGAGAAATACAGCATTTCACTATTAACTTTGAGCTGGGGTGATTGGATCAAATCTAAGATCAAACATATTCCACTCCTGGCCCTTTAAATTTGAAGACACCTCTCCATTATTATGCTCGCTGACTGAAGTGTCTATGGAAAACCAGATCAGCCAACAGTTGAAAAGTTACACTATTGTTTCTCAGCATTATTCAGCAGTAAATGGAGAAGGCAGTCTTTTAATTATACTTAGCTAGACTGATAATCTTGAGATTAAAGACCCCCGAAGGAGTTCTCATGGCTTTCAACCTGAAAGTATAATTTTAAAAAATGCATACAAAGGCCTCTACTTATAGGACAAGAAATGAGTTAGAAGTTACTGATCTACTTTAGTGAGGTTAATCAACAAACGTGGAGGAAGACAAGCGCAGACAAGTATGTGGAATTTTTTCTAAAACTTTAAGTTTTGCAACTCAGGCAGCACAAACTATTATAAATACCTAACATTGTTTATATTACTTACTAGCCACATCACCCTCGGTACTACTTATATCTTACATAAAATATAGTATTCTCCTGGTATAGATTGGTATTGATTCCAGAACCATCCATATATAACTAAATCTATATATTAAAATCTTGCAGTAGGCCCTCCAGAGCCTGTGTGTACAGAAAGTCAGCCCTCCATATACATGGGTTTCTTTCTTTCTTTCTTTTTTAATTAAATCATAGCAGTGTACATTAATACTATCATGGGGTACATTGTACTGTTTCTGTATACAATTTGAAATACTTTCATCCAACTGGTTAACATAGCCTTTATGTCTTTTTCTTAGTTATTGTGTTAAGACATTTATATTCTACACTTAGAGAGATTCACATGTACCCTTATAGGCTGAACCATAGGCGTGATCCCACTAATCATCCTCCCTCCACCCATGGGCTTCAAATCCCACAATCCAGGGTTGGTTGAAAGAAATCCACCTATCAGTAGACTCCTGCAGTTCAAACCACATTGTTCAAGGTCAACTGCAGATTTCAACTGTATCTCTATTCTCACATATTCCCTTTTTGCATTGGTCGTTGCTTAATAAGTGAATTGAATGACTAGAACAAAAATATATGCCTTTCTTCTGCCCAGCAATTAAGTGAGCTTAACACAGAATGTCACAGAACTATGCTCCCAGGGACTTTTTCACTTACTACTTCTTTTACTTTTACTGAAGTTGAAAGTCCTACAACAGTCCTCATTGTCAGCATTTCCATGTTATTGCTACATGAGCTAGTGGCCTCTGGGTGTGACCTCAGGACGCAAGCACAGTCTGTGATTGAAGTGGCTGGAATAAAGCAGCCTGTACCACTTTTTAGGATGTCCTGTTTTGCTGCCTTTTTTGTTTGTTTCTTAGAGAAACTGTCTCATGCTTACATGTATGCTTCTACGTTACCTCCGTAATACTCATCACACCAGTCAAAGATGCCCAAGCTATACCACTTTCCTATTTTTCTCTAGTCGCTGTAGTTACTAACAAAGAATGTTGGCACTAGAAGGAAATCTTATCGATGCCCTATGAGCAAGAATAGGGCCCAGCTCGTGTTTGTTGATAGTACATGAAACACGAATTTATCTTCTTATTCCACCCACTCTGTCCTATTTTCTAAGTGGAGGGAAACCACTTGAATCCAGGGAGATCAAGTGGCTAACCATTATACACACGGCTACTGAGTGCAAAAACTGAGTCAGAATTGAAAACTTTTGTTTTAACTTTCATCATTCTAAGAGACAGAGCTAACACTTGAAGCATATCTGAATACCAACAGCCCTTTGACTACCCTCAGTTCAGCAGGCAGAACGCAGTCTGGAGAACAAGTGGACGCCCTCTTCTTTGCCTATTCTTCAAAGGCTCTCCAAGTCAGTGATTTTGTCTCTGATTGAGCCTGACATCATGGTGATAGTGCTGGGAAGCCTCACAGCAACCAATACTCATTAAGCACACCTACACACATGTGGATTCATGCAAAGCAAGTTAAACAGGCTGGAGGAGCTTATAAACAAATTACAGAATCTCATGGGTAGGTGAGACTTGAGCGAGAGTCTAGCCTAACCTCCCATTTGTCTGGTGCTCAGATTTTCCCTACAACCTTCCCACAAAATGCTTACTTATTCTCTGCTTGCACACCTCCCACCACGCAGCTCCCAGGGCAGCCCAATCTTTAGACAGCTCTAGCTATTAAAGTCAAGCAAGAAGAATCAATTAACTTAAACAATAGCTCCCTAAAAGTGGGATCAAAATAATACATGGTGTATAGATTAATCAAAAAATGTCTACTGCGACTGTATCTGGCCTCTTTTTAATATATTTCACCTTTCAGCTGCAAGAGTCATCAACACCAATAAACATCACATAGTTTGGATGAAATGGAAATTGTCCAAAGCATTATAAAATCACAATACACAGTGTGATATTTGTTTCCCCAGGAAGTTTCTCAGCTACATTTTTATAAACTGCTTGGCAAAAACTACCGAAAAGAAACTCTGCTCTATCTCATTTCTCATATTGTATACTATGTCCACCCTGTACAATGTCAGCACACTGTATCCCATCAGATACTTTATGAAGGTCATGTATTTTTGACAACTGACTATAGTTTAATCAGGGAACAAGGGGTTTTAATATTTCCCGTGCTAAAACCTTGATAAATCCCCGTGTCTTTATTCTAAGTCACCAAGTAAACTCTACTGAAAAAGACGGCATGATGGACAATTTCAGGAAGCCTGCAGCCAAGCTTTTCACCTAAAAGCACTTCATGACACACAAGCTTTTATGAGAAACACTACTTACATATACACAAATAATTCTTTTCATCTGTAGGTGTCATAGAACTATACCAAAACTGGACAGTGAATCACCTCTCTAGGTCTCTATCTCGGGTGGGTGTGAACACCACCATTCAGGTGTAGAAATAGAGACGGGTTTTCCAGGCTCCGTCCAAAGCTCCAGTGAGTCACTGGCAGGTATTTAGAGAACATGTGAGTCAAGGGACCCTCTTCTGGGAATTCGTCTTGAGAGAAAGCCCTCAGCCCCACCTTGGATAAACTATGGCTTTAACTAAAACAAAGAGTAGACTTCGATCTGGAGTTAACAAAAAGAAACCTCTATAATGTGTGTGTGTGGGGGATGTTTATAATTTCCATCAGAGTTTTAAAAACTGTGATAACTATAATAACCAGTAATAAATAAAAATAAAACATTTTCACCCATCATGTGAAAGGAAGCTTTGTTTAAGTATTTATAACACATATCGATCTGATTTCATTTGGTCAATGAGAGAAGTTAAAAGGCAGCTGATGTAAAGATTTTGAAAATTAATCTTTTGATCAGAAGAATAGAATTAATAGTGAGAACTCTCCAGAATTGTTCTTAGAACCTTCTCCATCTGCCAAGTCCTCAACACGGTACCTAAATAAATGCGTCTTTCCATGAGAAAATTCAGTGATTATTTCTCAATCGTCCACTTTATAAGCATGAATGTAACTCAGGAGGTCAACAGTCCACACATAATCACTAAACTTAGAGGTGAGTTTTGGTATAAGGGAGTCCTAACATGGGAACGTTTAAAAGCTGAAATGATAACACTCAAAACCACATCACACGCTGACTGACCAAATGCCCCAGATGTTCAAGGTGTTTAAACGGACTTGGACCAGGCTCAGTAACTCAGCTACCTGTCCTTGACACACATTATTAGAAGGTGTTCCTCACTAGGACAAAGCAACAAGTGATGTCAACTGAACAATGAGGACACTGCCCACCTGCAGCACACAGTGAGAGGGCTGGGGCCGGTCCTGTTTATCTAGTAGATAAAGACTAAATTTCTCAGGAAGAACCTCATACATGAATTGGTATTCCCTAAGTTAGGGGGAAATTAATCATTTTTGATTAAAACCTTTCACTCAAAACTTTTCATTTAAAAAAAAGTGAAAAAGGCATTCCAATAACCTCCTGCTCACCATCCTTAGAAATATTTGTCTCTACATAATCCTGTTCAACTTGACCATTGAGCACCGAACCTCCATTACATAGAAATTCCCTTGTGGAAGACTGAAGCCCTCTGGGGCCTTCCTCTCCCAGCTGACCTTTGCTCCCCTCGGCTGTGACTATTTTGTCCATTTATCTTCAGGGCCTTCACTTTCCCCTTTGTAATACGTTGGACAGGTTATCATTTAGAACTTCTCTTTCTTGTCATTTTTTTTTTTTTTTAAACCTACTGGCAACTGTCTCTTTCCAAATGGCACTACACAACTGGGCTTTTCTGAAGGCTGAAAATTTGGGGGAATTGCAAGAGGTTTCTTCATAGAGGGACTCCCTGCACTAACTGGATTTTACACTTAAAGAATAAAAAATTCAACCTCGGCTGAGTAAAAACACCAAGATGTGACATTCCATGTAGAAATGTAATAATACGAAAAGTAATAGTAAAGGTTAAAAAATTGTTTTATGGAATACTTTGGGGGTATCTAATTTTGCATACTTTAGAAGCTATCAGCCTCCAAACTTTTCTAGCCATCCCGTTTTCTTGTCTGAGCCCTGCCAATTTTTAATTTACACAGAATCTTAGAAAGTCCAGGGAGGCCTAAGGGCTCAAGATCGCGCGCTCCCATGTGCATCGTCTCCCTCTCCACCTACCTTTATGGGATTTTAAGATGAAACTACACCTAGGGTAGAGAAAACTGATACTAAAGAGTTAGAGGCAATACTAGGGTTTATCTCCCTGTCCCCAAGTTCTCTCCAGTTCTACAATAAAGCACCAGGTCGGAAGACTTGATCAGCTAAAACCAATAACTAAGGCAATCACACAACAGAATGCCGGAGAAGGAGGCCACTGGGGTTGGACGGTGGCTATGGGGGGGGAGGAGGGTGCGGGGATGCACTCACTGGTCAGATTCAGCAAGGAGTCGAAGACTTTGCACTGGATCTGCCCAGTGCTCTGCGACACGCAGGACATCCACAGCCCCTCATAGATCGCCTGGGCGGTCACGATGTTGTCGCCGGCGTAGGAGTAAATCTTCCACTGGGGCAGGGCAGTGCTGACGATGGCGCCGATCCAGCCCAGGAAGGCTAGGATGAAGCCCAATAACTGCAGTCCCGCGTTGGCCATGGCTCGCTCGGGCGCCGGCGCTGGCTCGGGACGGGCAGGTGCAGCAGGCGGAGAGTTGGCAGGTGCGCGCCTGGGGCTCCCAGAGGTGGCGGGGCCGCACCGGGAAAGTTAACGTGGAGAGTCCTGCTTGCTGAGCCGCGGCTGAAGAGGCTCTGGGCCCCGGTCGGGGTCTGGGTCTGTGGTTGCGATGGCAGAAGCTGCGGTCGCTCCCGCCTCAGGAACTGAGAAGCCAAACCTCTGGGCGCCGCGATTTAAAGCAGCTCCGCCCCGGCCCAGCCCCGGCAGCCACGCAGCGCCCCCTGGCGGTTTCGGGCCGGCTCTCCCGGAGGGCGGCAGGGCAGGGAGCGCCCGGTTGGGAACTTGCTGCCCACGCCTTGGGGACAACCCACAGAGGGCCCGGCCCCCAGACTGCGTCAGGACTCACTTTCTCTCGTCTCTCCCCTCTCTCTCGTCAGGCTTCTCAGGCTTTTCATTCATTCACTCCACAGTTACTCCCCAAATTACCCTGTACATATAAGGGTAAACCCTAAAAATACATAAAAATGAAGCCCTGAAGTGCTCGGTTTTATTTTTAATGTTTTCTGTCACCTTGGCCCCTCCTCCTCTCCCAAACACACCTCTCTCCTCTCTTCAGCTTCCTCCCTCTTTTCCGTTCCTTCCTCTGCTCCCTTCTCTTCGTGGTCTGTCCTTGTCTCTAGAAGAACCCCTGGGATCTATACACTTTATAGATCAGCAGACCGAGCCTCAGAGAGCTGCGTGATTTCTCCAGAGTCGCACAGCAAGTTAGTAGCATCCGCAGGGCTTGGTTCCCGCTCATCCTGCTCTCCAAATATTTTCAGTGACCCAAATATATGTCGTTTGAGCTATTATTTTTCTTACAAAAATGCAGCTCACCTGCTCCCCCCACCCCACCTCCACCCTCTGCCCCACAGCGGTTTGTCCTACAGCAGCAACCCCTTATCAGAGAGGCCTGGCCTGTGCCACGCTCCCCCTCCAGGTGCTTCGCTAACGTTATCACGTGCGGCTCAGCAAAGGTGAGGGCATCGGGACAGTGTCCCCCCTAGAGAACAGACTGGGCTGGGATTTAGGAAGTCTGCTGCCGCCTCTGGATTCGGATCGGCTCCTTGAGCCTTTAGTTCCCTTCTGTGAGTCTGTACAGCTTCCTCCTTGTTGTTCTTCAGAAGTGCTGTCGTGGTTGAAAATAATTCATCTGTTTTCCTAACTGCTTTTTCTGTGTACTGTGAGTTTGGTGGGAGGAGAAGCTTCTATGATTTTGGTAAAAACAGAAGCGTGGTGGAGGCAGAAATAAACATAGTAGGGAGAAAATGAGCTAGGCTGTGTTGTCCTGTGGGAGCTGCCGGGTAGGACCGGGGAGGAACAGAGAGGTGTTTGGAGTGGGACTGGAGGGAATGACCAAAGCCCTGTCGTGCGCCCTCGCCTCGCCTGGCTATTTCTAGTTACCTTTTATGAAGGTTTAAGGCTGAAGGACTGGTCTGTGCGGGGATTTGCAGACTGCCCACGGAGAGGGTCCTACAGGAGCTGAATGAAGACATTTAACCCTTTCCAATTCAAGTTTTCTGCCACCCCAGCTCTTCTTTATTTGGGGTGGGAAAGAGGTTAGTGGCATACTTAGAATTATCCTACAGTTTTAAAAGAGAAAAACATAAATATGAACACATCTGATAATTTTATTATCAATATTAAGGTACATGCAATAATTAAAGTGCTCTTCTTTATTTTTGTTGATCATATTTTTGAGTGTGACACTTCTTGTAGCAACCTGGGATGAAGTCCAGGCTTCCTCTCGCATGTCTCACAGTGGAAAATGGTCTCTCTCCTTCCACCTTCCTCATTTCTTCTGCTGCCAGCCGTGCAGTCCCCTGTAGACATTTTTATGCTGCATGATAAAGCCCATCTTCCCATTCTGCCTTTCCTCAGTGTCAGAAAATGATAGTCTTCCCCTCTTCCTTGAATTTCTGTTCTTCACACTGCTCACAAGCTGAGTGATGAGATTTCTCCTCTAGGAAAGGTTGTCTGTGTGAGCTGTGCCTGTGGTTCAAGGAGGAGGGCTCCGGCCCTATACCCTGTGGGTGGCGGGTTCAAATGCAGCCCTGGCCTGCAAAAAAAAAAAAAAAGAAAAAGAAAGAAAGAAAGAAAGGTTGTCTGTGGTTTTTCTTCAGAAGGTTGTCTGTGGTTTTTCTTCAGGGCCACGGGCAAACAAATGCAACCAAAAAGATGCGTTGGCTAACTTCCGACATAAGATTGGAAAGTAATCTGCAGTGAGCAAGCTTAAGGTAAATGAGTATTATCTTTCTTCTACAAGCTTTCCCAAACACCTGAAATCTTCTAAGTAAGCTCTGTTGGTACCATGTTGATACTGTATTCCCAGGACTGGACCTAGAGGAAGAATTTATTACTTTCTAAGTCCAGATGCCTATAAGTATCGATGAAGAGGTATTGATCACACTTGATATGTTTTATTCCCCAGAGCAGATACTCAGGGTTTGCCAGAGGAATAGACCAATACCACGTGAATCATATAATCTTATATTTTTGTGTTCTAGTCATTTGAGAATTAAAGCTATTTTTCAAAGACATGATTAGATTTCAATGACTATGCTTATGCACCAGACCTATTTCTATCAACCTACAATTGGCAGGGAATTGAAGGGATGAATTCTGTAGTCAAGAGGGCTCTGTATTTTTGTGTTTTTATCATAGGTCTGCACGAGGCTGATGACTTCACTGCCCACAACCATGTTTGTGAGGCTTAGGAGAGTGCTGTTTGCTTCACTGAGATCCACGCCCACCTCTGCCTTAATCCTGTCTCATTTTCTTTCCTTATCCTCGGTGCAGAGGACAGGTGAGATAATGGCTTAGCATAAATCCATCAACTCAAGAAGAAAAACAAGTACTAACACCAACCTTTCATATATGAAGCACAAAACAAGAAAAGCAGCATTGTGACCCAAAAGGTCCTAGAAAGACTGGCAGTGGTATGGCAAATATCCTGGCCTCTTGAGGAGGAAAAGCTGCTATGTACTTTCGGATGAATTACCTTCTTTCTCTGACTCAGTTTTGCTATTAGTTAGGAATACACATTACTGGTTATCTACTCAGGAATAAAAAACATCATTGTACTACAAGGACATTTGCGCTGGAATGTTTATTGCAGCTCAATTCACAATTGCCAAGACATAGAAGCAACCCAAGTGCCCTTCAATCCCTGAATGGATTAACAGACTGTGGTGTATGTATACCCTGGAGTACCATCAAAAAGATGATGGAGACTTTACATCTTTTGTGTCTACCTGGATGGAGTTGAAACACAGTCATCTTAGTAAAGTATCATAAGAATAGGGGGAAAATGTTATGCAATGTACTCCATATTAATATGAAACTAATATATAAACAACTATCAGCACACATGAAAGAAAACCACAGTATGGTCTGGTGAGGGGGAGGGGAGAAGGACCAGGGGAGGAGGGAGGAGGATGGTTGACTGGATCGCACCTAATGTGCACGATGTGAGGGTGTCCAGCACGTCCCTGGGTGAAGGGCTCCACTACAACTTGACCTTTACTTCAGAAATGAAAACAAGTTCACCTAAACGTTTGTACCCTGATATCAATCTGAAATTTAAAAAAAGAGGAAGGGATTGGCTTCTAAAAGTCACTCAGTCTAAGGCTTTATGCCTATAAAGAATAACAGTTAACATTTGGCAGTAATATTTTCTCAACAGGTCTTGAGCTCAGGTTTTCTCTGCCATCTCTCTGTGCAAATGACAGAGCCCCAGAAAGGCCAGGTTGCTCACCCTGTGTCCTATTTGATTTGGTATATGGTTATTCTGGGATTTCAGATGACAGAGTTTTGAATCTATCCACTGTCCTATAATATTTCTCTGTGTGATCTCCATCAGTTGAGGACAATGGGCTTTTGGGGGTGGGCTTTGACATCCTTGTTATATATTTCCAGCTCCAGGCAGTGGTGTGATGTTCTGCTCTGTGACTGCCTCTTCTCAATCTCTGTTGCAGCCACTGAGATTCTCTACCTTGGGAATCCAGAATCATGGGACAGAGAATGCCGCTGCCGAGGAGGGAGGGAAGGGCAACTCAGCAGTTCGCTCAGTGGTTTACTCCATGTGCCTATGCGAGGGACGCTTGTGCGTAGCCATCATCCTGAGAACCAGCAAGGAGTAGAAGAGCTGCACGTAAAGAGAGAACCTTCAAAGATGGAAGTCAGGGTGAGACGAAGGGTGATAAAACAGAGAGTACCAAGAGCCAAGTTCCTGAGAGGCAGCCTGATGAGAAATGGTTCTGAGGTTCTCAGAAATGGTTAAGGATGAAAATAAGAAGGCTTTTGGGATGTAAATTTTGTCCTTAGGGATAATATAGGTGAATGTTGATTTTTCAGAGCTTCTCACATGCTAAAGCAGAATGGACGGCCACATTACTAAGTAGGCAATCTGCTCTATAATTATTTAGGGCTTGAGAAAGGAGTCAGAGTACAAATGTAAAAATCTAACATGAATTTTAGTATCAGAACATGCAAGTTCCTAATAAAACAATGGATGGAGGACTGTCATAACTTTTTAAAATAGCCCTTTGAAACACCTTGTAGTTTTTGAGAGGGTAATGAAGGGTAGTGGTCAAGAGCACAAACTTTTTGAATCCTAATTCTATCACTGCTAAGTGACAATTTTGTGCAACATTCTTGTGCCTTAGATTTGTTTTTCTCTTTCAAATGACTCAAAAAAATAGTTTCTTATGGGCATTAAACAAGGTAATACATGTGCGTTGCTTGGAATAGTAGTTGGCGTATAGTAAACATGAATGAAATGGTCATTATTCTTTCAAGCAGATCAGATACACTTAATCTGCTAATCCTGCTGCTTACAAATGATCTTCTCCTTTATTCAGAGAGAACCTTTGTTGCCTTGATTCTGTTACGATCTCACTTAAAGTCATAAGTAGATCAGGGTGAAAAAACTATACACTTTCTCTAGCAGAAATTTGCAATTTTGTGTTAAGAAACAGAAAAGGCAGCGAGTAAAGGGGTGTGGAAATCTTAGATGAGATTTCTAAGCCTTCTCCCCTGACCTTGACAGCTCTCGCCTCAGTCCTGTGTAGTTCCCATGGCTGGGACTAACCTAGAAGGTTAGGAAGGCTGCCTCGAGGGCTCTCCCTGAGAAGGAGCAGGCCAAAGGCAGAGGGGGAAGGGCCATGTGGAGCCAAATGACTTTCTCTCAGACATGGGTGAAGATCTTCAGAGGGTCAGGGGGGAAAATGTGTTATTTGAGATTTTTATTATCAAGTGTTTGCCTTGTTATCATGTGCACATAAAATTCCTTTTTAGACTCTAGCTTAAACTCCTAGCCTGACAAACCCATCAGTTAAGAAAAATGGGGGCTTTGGAGGGAGGCGGAATTTCAGCCTTTCAATCTACTGTTTCGATCATAAAAGTCTGCTTTGAAGCAAATTAATGGACTGCTCCCTTTTACCGTTTTCCTTCTGTTGTTTGGGGAAAAGTTTTCTTTTAATCTTTATTGATTCTAGAAACACTCAACTAATTTGATCCTAAGAGTCAATGTCAAATTGGTAATGATGCAATTCTTTTAATCTCCTTAATGTAATTCTACCTGTATGAGTCACGATTCTCTAGAAAAACAGAACCAGTTGGGAATTATATGTATGTGTGTCTGTGTGTGTGTAGCAAGGAAGAAAGAGAGGATTTATTTATTTATTTTTTTGAGACAGAGTCTCAAGCTGTCCCCCTGGGTGGCATCACAGCTCACAGCAACCTCCAACTCCTGGGCTCAAGCGAGCCTCCTGCCTCTGCCTCCGAAGTAGCTGGGACCACAGGTACCCACCACAATGCCTGGCTATTTTTTGGTTGCAGCCATCATTGTTTGGTGGGCCCAGGCTGGATTTGAACCTACCAGGTCAGGTGTATGTGGCTGGCGCCTTAGCCGCTTGAGCCAAAGGCGCCGAGCCTTATTTTTTATTTATTTATTTTTTTGGAAAGAGCGAATTTAGAAAAGATTTATAAGATTAATTTTCAGGAACTTGTGGGAGCTTCCAAGTGTGAAATTTGTAAAACATCCCAACTTTGGGAGACTTTGGAGTTGATCTTGCTGTCTAGAGTCTGAAATCTTTTAGTTTTGGGTAGAATTCTTTCCTTTTGGGGAAACTTCAATATTTCCTTGTTTGAATGAGCTTTACAACATTATGAAGACTAACCTTCTTTACTCAAAGCCTATGGATTTAGATGCTAATTGCTTCTAAAAAGTGGCTTTCTAGCCACATCTAGGCTTGTGTTGACCAAACCAGGGGACCAGTGAAGTGGACACATAAAATTACCTTCCTACGAACCAATGCTTACTGATTATTAGATTCTAAGGGCTTTACTTGTATGAACTTGTTATACGAATGAGAAAACTGGAGCGACTTAGTGAAGTTGTTTATCCCACGTCACACAACAGGAAAGGAGTGGAGTTGACATCCAAACTCAGTGGTCTGGCTCGGGAGCCAGATAGCTCATGTCTTGTGCTGTACTGCAGCACACTTGGAGCTCATGTTTATCTCCTGGCTCTCCTGTGACTCTCCACGCCAGGTAGGATGGTGATATCCCAAAACTAAGTCCTCAACAAGCCTCCAGTGCTGAGTCATATCAGAGTGAATAGCGGGCCCCAGTTAGTGTTGGGTAACTAAGTGACTGAGTAAACAGATGAATGGAGTGGAAGAAGAAACTCTAATCTCTATTATGAGGAATCTGAGGCACCAGGAACACAGTAGTGAGGGAAAACAGTTTTGACCCTCAACAAGATTCATGTTCTTGGGAGGGAACAAAGATCAAAACAAAAAGAAGTAGCAGTTCAATAAAGCTCCTAACTTTTAGTGCATTGGCCTTTGAGATAAGACAGAATCTGGTGCTTTCTCCTTGCATTAGATACCGTGCTAAACAGGTTAATCAATCACTCTGTGTCTCATTTCCCCCATCTGTGAAATTAAAGAAATATTTTGTCTCACAGTTTGTGAAGAGTAAATAAAATTGATTAGGGTAAGGTAGAAAATGCTGAACCTTTTATCTGGAACATGGAAACTGATCTGTGATAGAACCTGGGTATCCCATTGTCATGAAATAGAAGGGGGTAAGTAATTTTAGTAGTTTTTGAAACTAAATTAACTTTTAACTTGGAAATAATGAAAGATTTCCCTAAAAAATCTAGATTCTGTTTTGTCTAGCATAATCAAGAACCAGCGATATCCTCTTAATAATCTAGAGATGTGCAGCTCCAGCTCCAGATAGCTGTCTGGTTTCCCCCTTCTCCAGGGCCTGCTACCCCTACATGTACGTTACTTCTCCAGGTCCTGTAGGCTTTTGATGCCAAGGTACTCATAGGTAGCGCATGATGTAAGTAGCTGAATAGACCAGACTTGCATGCTGTGCTAAGGAGTGTAGACTTTATCATGTCAGTAATACAAAAATCACAGAATATCAAGTAGGAACTTGAGCAGATTTGTGACTTTTCTGGGAAGCAGGAGGTTAATTCAATGGAGAGACTGGGAATAGCTCAGGGATGGGTGAATGAGAGGATTTGAAGAATGCTGAGGGCAGGGGCATTGGTGAAGGAGAGATGAGGAAACCTAGGAGAGATGGGTAGAGATGAATCAATTGTGTTTGCTTCGATGTGATTCTGAGCCAGGAGTGATAAAGGTCTCAAAAAATGCTGAGTCATTTTTGTTCACCAATAAGAGAGACATTATGCTTGACCTTAAAGGAGAGCATTAGCTCGGCGCCTGTGGCTCAAGTGGCTAAGGCGCCAGCCACATACACCTAAGGTGGCGGGTTTGAATCTAGCCCGGACCCGCCAAACAACAATGATGGCTGCAACCAAAA